ATAATAATACATTTAACTAAAACATGCAGAAATAATATTACCATATTTTGAAAATGTGGTTATACAACCTTCTACTTTGGTGAGTTCAATAAATTACTGTGTCTTAAATCGATGTAATGGTGCACTCAATTCAGAGTTTATCCAGATACCAAAGATTTGGATTATGTTGTTAACCCATCCTCATGCTGTTTAATAGTAATATTTCACAGTAAGTTGTTGGTGTTCTTCCATGTACTGTCTCTGATAAAGGGATCTATGGCTGCGGTCACACGGAGCATTAGGCATGCTAGAGGGACGGAAGATAGGCGGATTTTCCAGGCGCAATCTCACCGCCACATCTGGGAAGCGTCAAGCTCCCGTGGCGAACCCGAGGCTTCCCGCGGAAGAGGCGCAGTAAAAAACTAGTACCTCAGAGGTACTAGTTTCCTGAAACCGCGAGGCAAGGGTGGGCGTCTGATCGCGTTTCCGGTGATAGTTCTGGCGCCCGCCCATGTCCCCTCACAAAAAGGGTTTTTTTTTCAAAGTCTTCACGGATGCGCACAAGCACCCAAGAAAGCATGCGCACATTTGAGTTTTTTAATAAAACCCAACCCTGTTTGCCCCGTGCCCCGCTTCTTTGCCGCGTCACAGGACTGTGGAGTGATCGGCACCTCCCCCCTACCACGGGACCTCCACGGTAGGTCTGCTCGCGCAACCACACGTTTTTTAGCCCTGGGGCAAACAGCCACGCTTCCCCCCGCATTTTCCTGCCCGTGTGCCCACAGCCTTAATTAATTTGATCAAATATATATCAATCTATGCATGAATGAGACCTGGTGTGGTGGTTAGAGTGGCATACTAGGATCTGGGAGACCCAGGTTCTAATCTTCATTCTGCCATGGAAGCTTATTGAGTAACCTTGGGCCAAGTCACACATTCTCAGCCTAACCTACCTCACAGGGTTGTTGTGATGATAAAACGGAGGAGAGGAGAATGATGTGATCTGCTTTGGGTCCTCATTGGGGAGAAAGTTGATGTATCAATGAACTAAATAAATAAAACAATACTTACGAAGAAAAAGCTGTTGTTTTCAGTTGATACTTTTGTGTCACAGCTGGAACTTTTACAGAAGAAGCATTTCTTCCTGCAAAAGAGAAGGGATATGTTTTGCTGAGAGGGCATACTTGTTGCCATGGATTTCTAAGTACTTGCATTAAAAAAAAAAATACCTGAGGCCTGATTAATTATGGGCAGTCCTGCTTTTTATTGAAGCACTTACCTACTTTGAATTTAAACTCATGTGGCTGTTTGAATGTACTAGTTTCTGAACAACCCTATCCCTAGTCTAGAGATGGCAATTCAGATGCATATTTTGTAACCATATAGGGTTGCCAGGTCCCTCCTGGCAACCGGTGAGGGATGGAGGGGACTTACCAGGAGAAAGAGGAAGGCCCAGGCCACAGCACTTGTGTCACACAAGAAGTGACACCATCATGGTGTGACATCACTGTGACTCTGTTATTTGGGTGGAAACGGCATGGTAAAAATGGTTTCTACCATAGAGTTTTTGTCCAGATTCTAGAGTATCACCCGCATGTGGCTGACATATTGAGGTAACTTCCTGTGTGACACTAATGATGTGTCATATACCATACTAGAAATAAGGCCCGTTGTGGAAATAAATACAACAAGAGCTAGAAAGAGGCTCTGGGAGAGTGCTCTGGCTTTGGGCAAACAGTGTCAGTCTGCTTTTAAAACATGAACCTGGGACCTGGACACCACCAGAATACAGCAGGTTCCATATGCAACTGACATTCCAACTGCCTTGCGGGGGGGGGGAGTTTGAGGTGTGGAATGGAGTGAAGTCCAATCAGCTTCCATATGCAAAAGACCTTGAAACGCTGGGCGGGACTGCACAAAGCAGCCAGTCAACCCAGCCAGCGTCTTCTGACTGACAGTTCAAGCGTCCATACACTAAAGGGGCCAAATTTAGAATGTTCATATAGAATGGTCTTACTCAATTATATATAAGGAGAGATAAGCACCAACTACTTTGCCCCGGTGTGCCCCCCCCCCCCCCAAGCCAGCTGATTGGCAGCAGCGAACCCCCGCCTCTGCCAGGGGAGCTGGAAACCCTATAGACATACTCTTTCTGTTTTTCATATTATTCATACACAAGGCAGCAACTTTGTACTCAGGGATTAGTTTCTCACATCCCTGTGTATGAGTCCTTTGGAACTTGCATCAAGTTTGCTTCCCAGGAAGTTCTCACCTAGGGCACCTTCTCCATTTCTGTTGCACACAATTTGGTTGATTGAGAACACCGTGTTTAGTACAGAACTTGTGAACTGAAGCCTCTTGTGATCTGAGTGAAATTGAAGTAAACTGGATTTTAAGTCACAAATCATATTTATTTATTTATATTTATATTTTATTTATTCTTTAGATTTGTATCCCGCCCTCCCCAGAGGCTCAGGGCGGCTAACAAGGGCATAAAGTGCCTGATAAAAACAATAAGAACAGTATAAAATACAATACAATATACAACATAATACAATTAATAAAATATCGGTGTTCTACTACTCACTCCAATTCATAAGATCAAGATGGTGTTCTACAGATGTTATAACAATACAACGACTGTATATGTTCCCACAACCCTGTCATCCGCCAGGTACATCTCGCACCCCCGATGATACCCGCACCAGCGGTGGTAAGGGTGCGGTGATGGGAAAAGCGTTGATGGAATAATGGTGGCGGCGGCTCCTACTCGAAAGCCTGGTGGAAGAGCTCTGTTTTACAGGCCCTGCGGAACTGCCCAAGGTCCCGCAGGGCCCGGATCTCTTCTGAGAGCTCATTCCAGCAGGTAGGAGCCGCCACCGAAAATGCCCTGGCCCTGGTCACAGCGAGTTTGATGTTCCTGGGGCCTGGAATATCCAGGAGATTTTGGGTCCCCGACCGTAGTGCCCTTGGGGGAACATGGTATGCTTTTGGAAAATATATGGATGAAGTCAATCCCTTTGAAGTGAATCATACTAAGAGTTCAGCAGTGCCAGAGCACTATCATGCCAAACATTGACAACCCACTGTAAAGAAGAATTTTGTGAATTAACAATACAATACAAAGATATGAAGATAAACAGGTCTGGGTTGTATAGGTTGTACAGATAATATGATTCATCATGGATGTTGGAAATGAAAGAAAAGGTCTGTGAATTGATATGCCTTAGTGAGCCATTGGCCATTACCATCAGTGTTTCGGGGCTAGGAAATCTACCAATTTGATTTTCTGAGTGATATAGTGTCATTACATTGTGTAAGCATTGCTTTAAAACACAATTATGTGGTGCATGCTACAACAGTGTGTCTGTAAAGTGGCATCATTTATTTAATTTGGTCTCATCTAATTTTAAACAAATGGAAATCAGTACTTTGCAGTAGATATCAATGACCAGGTGGTAAAAAGCCTTAGAGGTGCAACATTGTTACAAACGCTAAGCTGCCAGTGCATATAAGACTTCTATCAAAACTTTAATTTTGTAATTTTTATACGGTGCTTTTTTATTAGCTGCTGTTTTCTTTGAAGTAACATGTATACATCTTCACAATTAATGTGTGCTCCTTTGTGTGTTTTGTGAATGTGGAAGTTTTTCTGTAATGTTTCAAAAACATATGGTGTTTAAATACTTTGTAAATACTTCAATTTTTGAGTTATGGAAAACTGAGGGGGTCAGAATAGAGACTGTTCCAGCCAACTTCTGGTCCCAGCATCTTGTTTGTCAATATAATGAGGAATGCAAGAGAGCCTAGAGGAGGGTGAGATTGGTGTGTGGCCACTTAGCCATTTAGATGTGGCCAGGGATCTTTTCCTAGAAAAAGAGCTGCAGGAGCTCATTAACATACGGTATGCTAATGAGCTACTAGGCTATTAGCATAATAGCTCATTAGCATATGCAAGCGCCCCCTGCCATCACTGGAAGTGATGTCAGAAGGGAAAGCAAAAGGTGGGGGAAGGCATCTTCAAAAGCCTCCCCTTCCCCAGCCAGCGGGGGGGGGGGAAGTGAAGAGAGAAGGGGTTTAAACTTTCTCACTAGAGTTGGGCCACAGAAGGAGGAAAGAGGGAAGGAAAGAGGGAGATAGTGTGTAGAGAGAAGGAATGAAAGAGTGAAAGAGAAGGAAAGAAGGAAGGAAAGAGGAAAAGGAGAGAATGAAAGGAAGGAGGGAAAGAAAGAAAGAGCGAGAAGGGAAGGAGGAAAGAGGTAAAGAGAGAGAAGGAAAGAAGAAGGAAAAGAGAGGAAGGAAGAGAAGAGAAAGAGAGAAAGAAAGAAAAGGAAAGGGGAAGGAAAGGAGGGAAAGAAAGAGGGCAAAGAGATGGGGGGAAGGAGGAGGCTCTCCCACCCCCCACCCCCCAATCAAGCCTCCACCACCACTTGCGGATCCCTCACTTACCCCGGGAGGTGGCGGCGGGGCCTTTTCTGGCCTCCCAGGGCCGCAGCGCTCCGGCGCTGGCCTTGGTAGGTGGCGGGGGGGCCTCTTCTGGCCTCACAGGGCTGCAGCGCTCCGGCGCTAGCCCTGGTAGGCGGTGGCGGGGCCCCTCTTCTGGCTTCACAGGGCCGAAGCGCTCCGGCGCTGGCCCTGGTAGGCGGCAGGGGAGCCCTCTCTTCTGGCCTCACAGGGCCGCAGCGCTCTGGCGCTGGCCCTGGTAGGCGGCAGCGGGGGGGCCTCTTCTGGCAGAGTCCCATTTCCCCACAGCCAGTGTATTCAGGTTTGAACCCTGGTTGAGATCAGCTTTTTAAAAATTGAGCACGGTGGATGTTTGCAGGTAGAGAATATGGGGAGGAGTACTTTCTTCTTCTTGTCTACTCTCTCCTGAAAACACCTCTCCAGTCTCTGTATTAGTGGTATAATGGAAATACAGAACTATACCCCTTGAATGACCTCTGTAATGCCTATTTTTGCCCAAAGCAATTAAACATTATCTGCTTGCATAATCTTTGCTTTCTTCCTCCTTTTAGATATGTGTCACAAAGATGTCTACACGGAACTGCCAAGGAATGGATTCTGTGATCAAACACCTGGACACAATTCCAGAGGACAAAAAAGTCAGGGTTCAGAGGACACAAAGCACTTTTGATCCATTTGAGAAGCCAAATAATCAAGTGAAGAGGGTCCATTCAGAGAACAATGCCTGCATTAACTTCAAGACTTCGTCTACTGGGAAGGAATCTCCAAAAATCAGGCGGCATTCCAGCCCTAGCTCTGTAAGTCCAGACATGCCATATTTATCTCTCAAAATATCTCCCACCAAGTTCCAAATGGGTAGATGCTTTTAATAGCAGTGTAGCTTTATTAATAGGAATACACTGAGATGCCAAACTTTTTAAACTACTGTTGTTATTTTTTCTTAGTTAAGACTGTCATGATCCAAAATGGTTCAAGTTATACCTTCTGGTAATGCATAGTTTATGCAAAGTTTTGAATGGTACTGTATGAGCCATTTCGAATGTTCTCTGTGTTGCAAGATGTTTATCATGAAAAATAAACTGTTTAAGGGAGGAGAAGACCCAGTTTAGGCCACTCCCCCCAAACAAGCCTGATTAGCAAGGTCCCCCCCCCCCCGGGATTTAATGAGGTTGGTGTCAAAGTTGCAGCTTTGGGTTTGTTTTATTTATTTAAAACGTTTTATAAGCTTCCTTTACCTAAGAATTATCCATAAAATGACTTTTAAAAAGATTTGAGTCTTCAGGGTCTTGTAGGGGAGGAAGAAGATAATGCTGAACCATTTTCAAAAAGGGCGTTACGACAGAAGAAATGTTGTTTCAGATAATGGTTTATGAAATTATGAAATCCAAAATTCTGAATAAATATTATGCTAGTTTTCTCAGAGTGGTACGGTATTTTCAAAGAACAGTCATAAATGAAAATGTCATGCTTTTTATGATAAGTGTTCTGACAGTTGTCCCAGAGGTGATCTGCCAAATTATTATTTATGAAAACCACATTTTATTTTTCATTGTCACATAAATCCACAAGAATGTGGTCTTTGAGACGAGGGAATACACATTGTAAGGAAATGGTAAAAAATTACACGCTTTTAAGTCAGGATAGAAGAAAATTGCAGAGACTGTGCAAAAGACATTTCTGGTTAGTTGGCATGGAAATCAGCTCATAGATGATGAAATCCTTTAATTAAAAATGACTGTATTAGTACAAGATAAATCCAAAGGCATAATGATAAACTGTAAGTGACTGAGCTGGGGTATGTGTGGGAGATCCTCAGGGTTGTTTGTTTTGTTTTGCGAGGACAAATTATATTTTTATGATTGTGAAAGTGAAGTCTTTGCTTTGAAGGAGAAGGAATGTGCATGCCTACGGAATTCTCCTAGGTTTTGTGTTTGTGTAATGATAATCAAGTTTGCTGCTGCATCTAAACCATGTCCAAAAGTTGAATGTCTTTGCCATTCTTCCTCACACCTCCCAGTTTTTCCATTTTCTGTACTTTGCAATTCTTATTCCTTATGCTTCTATTTACTTGTAGGTCACTATTCAGGAGAATGTTAACTGCAAGAATAGGCTATTTAAGATTGCCCTGCTATTCAAATTTCCTTAGAAATGTCTGTGTATACAAAAGCCACACTAGCTTAAGTATGTTTGCCAAATGCCCACTGATGGCAGGGGAACTCTTGCCTCCTCCCTCCATTGCTCACTCTGTCTCTCTCTGGGTCCGTTCAGATGTGGCGTTTGCAACGGTCTAGGTGCCGGTTGCAATCGGTGTACTTACCGGCGTTCACACATAGAACATCTGCCTTCCGTCCCTAACCGTTGCAAAGCTCTTTAACCGTTGTACTCTGCCACTAGGTCCCCAAGTGGTGGTATCCTGAGTACAACGGTTGTAATCGCTTAACCCCCCGTCTGCTCGCTCTCCACCGTTGCAGAGCCACTTCCGTTCGGAAGCCTGAGGCTTCCTATTTTCGCTGGCCATTTTTTTTTTAAAGGTTGGCGATATGCGCTTGGGCGAAGCTTCGCCCTGGCGTTTGTTTTTTAAAAAAAGAAAAGGGCCTTAGTTTAGCGTTTTGGAGGCGTCCGGGACCTCAGGGAGGCTACTTTGCTCTTTAAACTTTAAAGGTAAGTCCTTACCTTTAAAGTTTAAATGTAATACAGGGTTTTTTGCGCATGTGCGAAGATCGCCATTCTATGGATGGCTGCCTATGCGCATGCTCAAACTGAGTAAAAAAAAACAAACAAACCGCTGATGCCCGCTGTGTGTGGACGGGCATACAGCGATGGGATCTGCAGACAGGAGGTGAGTGTGATCGCGTTTCAGCCAGCATAAACTGCATCGGTTCCAACCAGTACAGTTTATGCCGGCTGAAACGGCACGTCTGAACGCACCCTCTGAGTGGTAGGGAGAAAACAGAGAGGCCAGACCAGCATCTCGTGTCACCGCATTGTCATTTCCTGCTGTGTAACTGGAAATGATGTCAGTGTGCCATAGGATGCTTTAGGGTTCCCCAAAACTCTATGGTAAAATTTGGGGGGAAATCCTAGAGCATTCTGCAACACAGTGATACCTTTTCTGGTTACAGAGCCAGAAAATGTTGCAACATTATGGGACACCATTTCATTGAGTCTCTACCCTACTGTACAAAGACTCCCAGAGGTCTCCAGCTAAGGGTCAACAACCAAAGGCTTAGAGGACCTTCACATTCTCACCCAAACAGCACTTCTACCAACAAAACCTATCCATTATAGTATGTCTTCAAAGCATTCACTTGAAATATCACAAAGTTACTGTGATATATGCAGTGGTTTGCACAGGTAGTCTCAAAGGAAAACAGAGACCACCCAATATACTTAATGCCTTGATTAACCAGCTGAAAAGAAATAGTCTGAATGGTGCTAACAGGATAATCATTTGAACTGTAGTGTCAGATTATCTCTTTATTACTGTGAAATTAGTTTTCTTGAAGACATACTGTTTTCAATTTTAGATTTGAAAACACTAGTGCAGAAGAGCTTTGAGGATGCTGAGTTGTGCTGTGGATTATATTATATTTAAATATAATATCTCTGTACACTTAAAATATCTAGTTAAGAGCCTGCATTGGACTATGACACTCTCAATCTGTTCTGCTTTATGAAAACATAATGCATATAAATGTCACATACAAATGTGTAAGTGTAATCCCATAAGTGAAACTCCCCTCCCCCCCCCAACTTTGCCCCAGGCACTGGAGAGGGAGCAGAATTGCACATTCAATGCTGAAAATGGGGTTATCTCTGCCCTTCCCTTCTTGCTTCAGTAGTTGGACTTCTGGTTGCTGCCTTTTTAAAAAAATTAGTCGTTGTTCATTGTAAAAATTGTACAGTGTGGTATGAATCTATATTTGCTTCTAGGCACTAGCTTGGATTCTGCCTTGAATTCCATGGGTGCAAGGGGGGCAATTTACCTCTGGTACAATTTCCTCAAGCTGTGGAAATCACGCCACCCCCCCAGAGCAGCAAGAGGGTAGAACTGGCACAAATTGTCCCCCCTTGCTCCCACAGAATCCAAGCCATTATGACTTTTTTTATTGCTTTGATTGGGAATTAGGAACCAAAGTGTTGCATATGTGCATTCAGCTCTCTTTGGGTGCGTTCAGATGGGCATTTATGCCGGTATAGATGCCAGTTGCAATCGGTGTACTTACGGACGATCACATGGTGAACATTTGCCTTCTGTCCCTAACCATTACAAACAGCCTTTAAACCGTTGTATTCTGCTACTAGGTCCCCAAGTGGTGGTATCCTGAGTGCACCGGTTCCAGCCCACTATCCCCGTCTGATCTCTCTCTGCCGGTGTAAAACCACTTCCATTCAGAAGCCCAAGGCTTCTGCTTTTTGGCCGCCATTTTTTAAAAAACCTCCTCGATGTGCACTTGGGCGAAGCTTCGCCCCGGCGTTTGTAAAACTCCCCCCCCCCGATGCTTCATTTTAGGCTGCGGACGAGTCCAGGACCTCACAGAGGCCCTTTTCGCTGTAAAAGTTTAAAGGGAAGTCTTCGCTTCAGGACACGCTTTTCGGGATGGGGTGTTCTGTGCCTGTGTGAAGATCTCAACTCTGTGGGTGGCTGCCTATGCGCATGTGCAAAATGTAATAAAAAAAAAACTGCCGACGCACACTGCTGCGCGTTGGTAGTGTGAACGGGCATATAGCAATGTGTTGCGCAGTCAGGAGGTGACTGTGATCGCGTTTCTTCCGGATCAAACTGCTCCGGTTCCAACTGGAACAGTTTATGCCAGCTTAAATGGCTCGTCTGAACGCACCCTTTTTGTGGCAGCAGTCCCTGAAAATCAGTTGGACCCTCTTCTCTTCCGCAAAACTAATAGCACCTCATGAGGTGCAAGAGGCTCCTGCCACAAGGCAGTCAGTATCTGCCATTTTCTCCCTACCTGTTGTGTGTGAAGGTGTTCCTCTGAGTTCTGGACAAACTTTTAACTGCTACCCAATGGAAGGAAATTTAGTCAAGCAGTTCCTCATTTTTAGATCCTTGGCATCTCCAATTTTAACGAAACGTTCAGGTAATAGGTGATGCGAAAGAGTCTCTGAAGAGCTGACCTTGATGTAACAATAGTCTGGTTCAGTGTAAGGCAGCTTTATATGTTCATGTAGTATAGGGTGCAGCAATTTGTTGCTCCTTCTTGATTATTGGATCTCTTTGCAATTTTGCTTGAAGAAACCTCAGGTATTTATATTTTAAATTCACAAATATCCCCAAAAGCACAATTTTATGTGCTAAGTTATAGTTGATACTTTGTATGTTGTGAAAGTTATAGTTGATACTTTGTTATAGTTGATACTTTGTATGTTGTGAAAGCCATAAAATAAGTCTAGGTTTGATAGGAAAGTAAATTTTGCATATGTTTTCCCCCAAATTTCTTTTCCCATGGCTTCTAAGTGTCTGGAAATTTTAAATGTCCCCTTTTCATTATGTCAGGTGCAGAGTAGTTACCTTGATATTGTTAAGAATTTTGGTAGTTCTGAACACCAAATATTTCCAGTCTTGGTAGTAATTAATTATAGCCTCAGTTAATGCCATTTATTGTTTAAGTGGGTGCAAAGGAAAGTCACTGTAGGCATTTATGTTACCACTGAACTTTCAGAAGTCAGAACTGCCATGGTAATCCATAGCATCTGGTAGCATGGGGTTTACTCTGTGTATTTATACTGTAATTAGAGGCAGAGTACAACTGGAAAAGGAGCTGTGGTGGCTCAAGTGGTTAAGATGCTGAACTGCAGGCTGTGGAAGGTCAGTAGTTCAGCAGTTCGAGACCCGAGTGCCTCATGACAGAGTGAGCTCCCATCTCTAGTTCCAGCTCCTGACAACCTAGCAGTTCGAAAGCAAGAAATTGCAAGTAGATAAATAGGTACCACTTTGGTGGGAAGGTAACAGCGTTCCATGTGCCTTGGTGTTTAGTCATGCCGGCCACATGACCACGGAAATGTCTTTGGACAGCGCTGGCTCTTCGGCTTTGAAACGGAGATAAGCACCGCAACCCTAGAGTTGGACTCGACTGGCTTTCGAGCAAGGGAACCTTTACCTTTACAACTGGAAAGGCAAAGGTACTTTAATGTGACCAAATGCCATCACATTTGGTCTGCCTCGGCGGGGAGGTGCGGGATATAAATTAAAAAAAAAATATATATATACATATACTGAAACTTCATTGCAGCTGGGGTTAAAGGAAGGGGAAGTCTCTGACACTGGAAGTTGTGATTTTGGCTATAGGACTGATGCTAGATCCTGGATGTGTTTTGCAAGTTCATCCAATCCTTTGATGAATTCATTTATGTTGCTATCACTGTATCCTCTGGCTGTGAATTACATAGGCTGAGAAGTGTGATATATTTGTGTACCGGCATGAAGGTCAAAGAAGAAGGAGACGGCAAAGGATGAGATGGTTAGACAGTGTTATTGAGGCAATGAACATGAAATTAAGCAAACTCCGGAGCACGACGGAAGACAGGAGGGCCTGGCATGATGTGGTCCATGGGGTCGCGAAGAGTCGGACTCGACTGTGTGACTGAACAACAACATGAAGTAGTGGCTAGAGTGTCAGACTGTGATTTGAGATCTGCTGAGTGATGGTTGTGAAGATAAAACTGAGAAGAGGAGAATGAAGTTATAAGCTACATTGGGTTCCCTCTGGTGAGAAAAGTGGGGTATAAATTAGGGATGGGCATGAACTCCCTTTAAGCTGTGGAATCTCATGTGCAAAAGTTCTACTTTGTGAGCTATTGGCATTAAAGTTGTGAGCGAGCCATTTGGCTACTGCATAAATTAGTTTGCTCTGGAGCCATCCTTCCATCCTGAGCTAAGACAAAAATGTGTGAGCCAGAGGCTAAAAAACTGTGAGCTAGCTCACACTAACTCAGCTTAGAGGGAACACTGGTGGGGAGCAATTAACCTGGCAGGGGCTAATCCAGAGGAGAACTGGTTTGCTGTATTCTGTTTAAACAGTTAAAAACAGTCTGCTTAATGTAACAAGGAATGTGCAGCAGGAAGGAAGCAAAGTTATAGTGATGGTATCAGTTGGCAGAAGATGAGTCATTATAAGAGTACTCTTCTTTTATGACAGTTGTATAAAGGCATTGTTGGGATAACTGGTTCTGGGAAACTATATATAATCATAGAAGCCATAAAGATTAGTGAGTTAAAGTCAAGCTTTCAGGTAGTAAGAAAGAGAGACTGAATACTTCCCTTGGTCAGATTTTACATTCTTACATTAAAAGTTATGGTGGTATTCCCCATGATAGCTCCCACATCCTGTCTTCAGGATGCGAGGGTGGGGAAGGCAGAGAGAGGAGGTCCTAAAACTGATAGACAACTTAAAAACTGATAAATCACCAGGCCCAGATGGCATACATCCGAGAGTTCTGAAAGAACTCAAATGTGAACTTGTGGATCTACTGACAAAAATATGTAATCTTTCCTTAAAATCAGCCTCCATTCCTGAGGACTGGAAGGTAGCTAATGTCACTCCCATCTTTTAAAAGGGTTCCAGAGGAGATCCGGGAAATTACAGGCCAGTCAGTCTGACGTCGATACCGGGTAAATTGGTGGAAACCATTATTAAGGAAAGAATTATTATGCACATAGATGAACAAAACCTATTGAGGCAGACTCACCATGGGTTCTGTAAGGAAAGATCTTGTCTCACTAACCTGTTAATGTTCTTTGAGGGGGTGAACAAACATGTGGACAAGGGGGATCCAATAGATATTGTTTACCTTGACTTCCAGAAAGCTTTTGATAAAGTTCCTCATCAAAGGCTCCAAAGTAAGCTCAAAAATCATGGGATATAAGGACAAGTCCGTTTATGGATCAAAAACTGGCTAATTAATAGAAAACAGAGAGTGAGTATAAATGGGCAATTTTCTCAGTGGAGGGTTGTAAGCAGTGGGGTACCGCAGGGATCAGTTCTTGGTCCACTGCTTTTTAACTTGTTCATTAATGATTTGGAGTTGGGAGTAAGCAGTGAAGTGGCTAAATTTGCGGATGATATACGACGTTGTTCAGGGTAATGAAAACCAGTGAGGATTGTGAGGCACTCCAAAGGGATCTGTGAAGGATGGGCGAGTGGGCGTTAACATGGCAAATGGGGCCAAGTGCAAGGTGATGCACATTGGAGCCAAAAATCCTAACTATAAATACACATTGACGGGGTCCGAACTGGCAGAGACTGACCAAGAGAGAGATCTTGGAGTCGTAGTAGATAACTCACTGAAAATGTCGAGACAGTGTGTGACTGCAATAAAAAAGTCCAATGCTATGCTGGGGATTATTAGGAAGGGTATTGTAAACAGATCAGCCAATATCATAATGCCGCTATATAAATCAATGGTGCGACCTCATCTGGAATACTGTGTGCAATTCTGGTCACCACACCTTAAAAAGGATATTATAGCTTTGGAAAAAGTGCAGAAAAGGGCAACTCGAATGATAAAAGGGTTGGAACACTTTCCCTATGAGGAAAGGTTAAAGCGCTTAGGGCTCTTTAGCTTGGAGAAACGACGACTGAGGGGTGACATGATTGAGGTTTATAAGATTATGCATGGGAAAGAGCAGGTAAAGAAAGAGGTACTTTTCTCCCTTTCTCACAATACAAGAACCCGTGGGCACTCCATGAAATTGCTGAGCGGTCGGGTTAGAACGGATAAAAGGAAGTACTTCTTCACCCAAAGAGTGATTAACACTTGGAATTCACTGCCACAGGAAGTGTAACACAGAGCGTTGGACTGGTTGGGCCTTTGGCCTGATCCAACATTGGCGTCTCTTATGTTCTTATGTAAATGACCAGTACACTCATGCAAAGTTACCTCTACCAAGGCAGGCCATCGGCACATCAGGTCTAGTATTGTCTTCTCTGACTAGAAGCTGTTGTTTAGTGTCATGGCTAGAGAAAGATCATTCCCTATCCTTCCTCTTTGAGATCCTTTAACTAAAGTTGTCGGGGATTAAATCTTGGTCCTTCTGCATGCAAAGAATTTTCTGTATGCAAAGAGCCATAGCCCTTCCCATAGCATACCAAAAAAATCAGATCAGAAGTGAAAATCAGATGCATAGCAAAGCACTGCAGCAATCTCTCTCTGTGGCTTCCCTCAGATTTGCTTTCTTTATTGCTGTGGTAAGTTTGGTTTACTTGTCTCAGGTGTACAACTAGATGTGAACTAAACCCTTTTTCTTCTAGGAAAGTACGTCAGTGCTCAAAACTTTACTGTGTTTCCTTTCTTTAAAGAGAAGTGTGTTTCTTGCCAGGTTCTGGTTGCCCTGAGAATGAGTTACCATATTTGTCAATTTGTCATTCTGCCTTGTGTAGGTGTAACTGTCATTTTAAAATCAGTGTAACTCTTGGTACAGCATTTAAAAATTCACATCTGCACAGAAACACTGCAACAAATCCTGATTTCATTCTTCTGTCAGCTAAGCCTTTCTGATGTGTCCCTGATAAAGGAATATGGTTGCAGTAGGCAGTGACCATCTGGAGTGTTGAGTGATTTTTAGATGGATGTCATTAGCCATTGCCCTTGGTAAACGACACCATCAAGCATTAAATATTTGAAGTATAATCTCATTCGTTTTGGTAATAGCATTTGGTCTTTATGGTTGGTTGAATGCAATATTCATAAGCAAATGCTGAACATTTTGCCCTTTTTGTTTTTCTACTTAGCCAACAAGTCCCAAGTTTGGAAAAGCAGACTCTTATGAAAAACTAGAAAAGCTGGGGGAAGGTTCATATGCCACAGTATATAAAGGCAAAAGCAAGTAAGTTCACATGCACAAACTTTTTACTGGGTTGTGAATTGTTAGACCAGGTATTATGTAAGCAGTTCTACTGATTTTTCCTTAATGGAAATAACATGGAGTATGAGTCACTGTGGATCAGAATTTTGTAGCTTAAGATAATGGTTTGGTCTGAAGTCAGTCTGTTTCCATTACAATTCAATTAAACTACCTTGGCTTAAATCTAAGAATTCTGTTTATAGTCTGGACTTGACTAGACTTGACATGTCAGTTCCTATACTTTATTTAAATGGTCCAATAGAAGTACACACTTCTAAATGTGAATTTGGAACACCTAGGTTTTTGATCACGTGGTTACTTTTGGAGTTATTGCATGGTAAATCAGGATGTGTGAAGAGATGCAACACATGAAGATGCCCAATATATAGTAGACAACATTGCCAATGAATTGTTGTTGTAGTTGCCTGCCCAGAGCATAAGATCAGGTGTGATTTAAGACAGTCTGGTGCCAGGTTCTACTACACAACAGGGGGGCAAAAAAGGGGCACTTGAACTGAATCTAATATTAGATGTATTTCCAGGCTGCATATCCTTCAGGGTGAAACTTTGGAAAAATTTGTTACCTGTCTGCAGACACACAACAGCTGTGGAAAATGGCTGTTAAAATAATAAGAGAGAGCCCACTAGGGCTCAGAATGATGCCATGGCAAGATGAAGGGCCTCCTGCCTTCTTCCACAGGTCATTTTACTATACTGATATAGTGTGTGTGGGGGGGAGGTATTTTCCCATTTTTGCTTCTCCATATTCACATGGAGCAGCAAAAAATGGGGAAATAACTCCCCCACCTGTGCACTATTCCTTCCTCTGCATTCCCCCAGTGACGCTCCAAGCCCAAACAGGGTGTCCTTTATTTTTTAACCACCATTCCCTGCAGCTACTGTGTGGTTGCAGGGAACCTGGACCGAGCTCTTCAAAACCCCACACATCTAGTTTGCCCCTAAGTAGTAAGGTAAAAATAAAGGTTCCCTTGCTCGAAAGCCAGTCGAATCTGACTCTAGGGTTGCGGTGCTCATCTCCATTTCAAAGCCGAAGAGCCAGCGCTGTCCGAAGACATTTCGTGGTCATGTGGCCGGCATGACTAAACACCAAGGCTGTTTCCTTCCCACTGTAGTGGTACCTATTTATCTTCTTGCAGTTTATTGCTTTCGAACTTGTAGGTTGGCAGGAGCTGGAACTAGAGATGGGAGCTCACTCTGTCTTGCGGCACACTTGGGTCTCGAACTGCTCTTTTAATACTAAATAAAATGTTGCTGAACTTATGCAAGCTGGCTCATTCTATTGGGTGACTGGTTGTAGACTAAAACTTCATTATTAACTGTTGGTTAGCGTACGGTTTCTGCAGTGGTGTATGATCGATGAACACTAGAAACAAGTACATAGCTTGTAAGCTGAGAAAAAAGAATTTGTGATGAAACCACAGATGCCTTTCCTTCTGTCTGATTTTTAAAATGTGAAGCAATGAAAATGCCCTTCCATCTGCTAGCCAAATGCAGAAAGTAGAATGAATCTGTAATCACTATAGGACTTCTTGTAACTGAGTATATAGTTGCAATGAGAAAGTTTAAGGGATAGAAAAAGGTCTGAAGCTGACTCTTATTGCAAAGGTTTTAGGGTACCTAATGAGAATTGTGGCACAGTTCTGTGGAGCATATAGAAGCAAGGTAGGAGGCTGAAGCCGAATTAGGAGGAAATGAGCTGCTAGCATTAAGAACGTGAAATTTTCACAGATGATCAGTTGAGTGAACTGACAAATAATGTTGGGAGGCAGATTTTGCATAGAGACAAGACTGAAGTAGTGGAAAAGTATGCAAGGCAATGAACAGTGGGTCTAAGTTGTAACTGAGTGCAAGATGCATTTAATTGGCTACTGGGCTGCCGGTTCCAGGACCATATAAGTTTGTGTGCATAAACATGCATAGAACATCCGTCCCCCATGCCACCAAACTTAAAGGACTTATACAGCTAGCTGCCTTGTAGTCTTCAGAGTTCCTCTCATCAGTGGGAGTAGTGTAGCACTGGCAACTGGCTATCAGCATAATTCTGATCACACCATTTATATTTAAGTCTTCCATTCATCCAGTCTTAAAATGTAGGTCTTGTCATTGAGCCTAGAAAAAAGAGGCCATAAAGGAGACAGGTGAGTGACTGGCTCCTTGTGTGTTGCTTTTTCAGGGTTTTAATTTCTGTAGAACTGAATAAAAGTATAGCTTGCATCTATTTGTATTTTCTGCTCTGTCACTTGTACCCAGGTGGGTTCACTCAGTGCAGCCGCCCCCAGCCCACACCTGTGTGCTCACATACCTTTTAGTACCTTCTGTTCAGCTCTCAATTTCTTTTCAGGGCAGATAATTGTTGCCTCTTGAACCACTGAAATACTAAATTCTCCTATGAACTTATACTGCTATGTTGTTGTTGAAGGATCAGCTGCTGTGCTAATAAGCTACAAGAAATTTTTGTGGACTTCAGAGCAAAAAGTATGATGAGCATAAATACTGATGTCATAACACCACAGCAGTAGCCTTCAGTTTGACCAGCAGTGTGTATGGGGGGTGAATTTGTAGTTTAACAGAGTGGTGAAAGAAGGTGTGAGTTTTCCTGTTCTGTATGGCTGATGTCCGGTGGTAACTCAATCAACTGTTGCTAAAAACGGGTGACAAGGCAAGCCTGTCTGCCAACAGTGTCACATAAAAATTACATAAGTCCCATCCTGTTTGTCTGTGACTAATCCTGTGAAACAAATTTGTCAGTGTTTCTGTTTTTTAAATCCTTCTGAGATGGGTTGACAGATGCTGTATTTCATTATTAGACACAGTGAAGTCTCTTATTTTACCAATATACTACCTTTAACTTTTTTGTATACTGGAATGGACAATAGATTATACCTTTGTTACTTTTGGGTGCTGCAGAATAGTTCTACTGTATTTTGAGTCTCCCTTTACAGATGTACAATTAGCAGAATGTTGGAACTGTCTGAGTGTCCTGTCCCCTGCTCATTATGTACCACAGCTAGAGAGGACTGTTCACATGAATGTCACTAGTTCATTATTCACTGTCATGAGTAGGCAAAAGTCTCTTTTTGTCTGTTTGCGTGCATGTGTGTGTGTGTGTGCCCCTGCCCGTACTTGGGCATGGAAGGACGTTCAGAGAAGTAGCAACCCTGGACTTCCTTGGTGGTCTCCCATCCAAATACTTGCCAGGGTCAGCCCTGCTTAGCTTCCAAGTTCCAACAAGAATCAGCTTGCCTGGACTTGATGCCAACAAAGCAAAAGCATTCCCCTTCACTTGGACCTTTGTGCTGGCTCAGCGTCTCCAGGGAACTGGGCTGCTACCCATGCAACAGGCGTCAGCCCATTTCTTACTAGTGAGTTGCAGTGTGAGTAGCCATTCCCAGGGTCTGGGCTTGGGCCAGACATTGCATGGTGCTCCATCTGGCCTGGGAGGTGAGGGAGCCAAGTGCCTGTTCAGTGTGGCCTGCAGTAAGGATCTTGGGGGCTTGGGGCCCTACACAGTGTAGAGTGGAGGTGGCCAGCAGGTGGGTGCTCAGAGGGCTCTCTCTCCTTTTCTTCTTCTCTCCCTGCCTCACTCGCTGCCTGCCTGGCTCTTGCCATGCTGGCTGTGTTGCCCCTTTAATTGTATCCCCGGCCCTTGGGTGTCTCTCTCCAGTGCCCACGTCAGCAAATACCTTTTCTTTCTTTGCCAGTTGGGCACTTGCCGGCTTCAGGGCACCAAAGCCCAGCTACACTTTGCACCAGCTTTGCCACAGCCTGCCGTGCATTGGAGAAGGATCCATTGAGCACCTGTGAGTGCCTTGGCCCACCCGCCTGCTCACCTGTGCCTCCTCGGCAGCATTGGACAGCATCCAACTGGCCACTAAGCCAGCCCCGCCTGGTGCTGTCAGCTGCTGTGTGCATGGTGCTCAGCTGGCCACAACAAAAGAAGCAAGTAAAGCAGTATGTTGCACTTTAGTATGTTGCAATTCCCCGTCCATAGAAGGTACAAAAGTCTTACCTGTATTATCAACAGTCTATCTGATTGTAACAGTCTCTCTGATTTTCCAATTAGCAACTAAAAGCATGTTTAAACTGTTCTACACAATTCTGAAGGAGCTGTGGTGGCTCAAGTGGTTAAGACGCTGAACTGCAGGCTGTGGAAAGTCAGTAGTTCAGCAGTTTGAGACCCGAGTGTGCCACATGACGGAGTGAGCTCCCGTCTCTAGTTCCAGCTCCTGCCAACCTAGCAGTTCGAAAGCAAGAATTTGCAAGTAGATAAATAGGGACCACTTCGGTGGGAAGGTAACAGCGTTCCGCGTGCCTTGGTGTTTAGACATGCCGGCCACATGACCACGGAACCGTCTTCGGACAGCGCTGGCTCTTCGGCTTTGAAACGGAGATGAGCACCACAACCCTAGAGTCGGATTCGAGTGGCTTTCGAGCAAGGGAACCTTTACCTTTACCTTTACACAATTCTGAGACAATCTGTCAGATATGAAGGTCCCAGGTTATGAACTGTTTTAAAAGTTAACACCACCTTAAAAGTTAACACCTTAAATTGAACACAGAAGCTAATAGGCAGTGTAACAGTTTGTAGGTAACATACATAAAGCACTGGACCCTAATCAATAGTCTTGCCTGATGTTCTGGACTATTTGGAACTTTGGTGTTGTCTTCAAGGGTAATCCATGGTGAGTGTGTTACAGTAGTCCTGTTTTGGCATCACTGTGACCAAATAAGATGAACCTAAAGTGAGACTGTTTCCTTACTAAATTTAACTGGATTTCCCCCCCCCCACTTTTTACTGCCTCACACATCAGGTTTTCTAGCAGAAGGGCTGAAGCTAATAAGATTCTTAAGTTCTTAACGGTCTCTTCAAGATAAGGCCGTCTGAGCTGGGTGGTACAACTCCAAGAATTAAGACTTCCCAACAAATGTGATCTTCATCTTTTTAGGATTGAGCTTCAGTG